AACTCAGTCTCAATGTTTCCTTCCATGTCTTGATCAATAAAAAATCAAAACAAAGTTCAAAATGAAAGATTCAATGAAATCATGTCATAATTCCACCTTTCAAACTACTCACTATCCACACGCAAAGCTAAATTTGTAGAAAATTATTGTGATAAAATCCCTGTTCCATTTGTTGTAATAAGGTGATACTGAGTTGTTCAAGGCTCACGTGGACTGTGTGTGTAAAAACGTGGCATCAAGGGTTAGTATTCTGGGCCGTATTAGAAGTTTCGTCACAAAGGAGGCAGCAACACTTGTTCATAATGCTTTAATTCTTCCCTTATTTGATTACTGTGACATTGCCTGGAGTAACCGCCTCCCGGTTAGCTCAATGGATAGAGCGCTGGACTGTAGTGCGGGAGGTCGAGGGTTCGAGCCCCGGCCGGACCAACACTCAAGGTCTTAAAATAATTGAGAAGAATTTGCTACCTTTCTATAACATCAAGAAATGGTTAGATATTCTAGTCTTCTCGGATAGGGACGAATAAATGGAGGTCCCGTCTCCTGCAGGGTTGGGGCAGGAGACGTTAATTTCCCGCACACGAGATTACTGTGTGATGGATGTCCTCCCCTGGGGTGAGATGGGTGGGTTAGGACAGCAGGTCCACATCAGCTATTACAGCTGCCAATTAATCAACCTGCTTAAACAAATAATTGAACTTCAACTTCAACAGTCATTAGAAAAGGAAATATTCCACAGGCAAACCAAATGTCAGTTTGTATTCTTTGTACTCCTATAAACTAGTTCCCATCAGAAATTTCAGTCATCTTGAACTTAAAAAACTTATTCCTGCAAGTGGCATAGAGACACACGTAAATCTCCTGCAAAAGTTACTTTTCACGTTAGAGGCCTAAGTATCATGTGCGTCTGCTTGTAGGAATATGTGCCAGGGGTTGTGCTGCCGGTGAACTCATCATAATCGGTGATTATTTAAAATTTTACTGGTTTGAATGAGATGCAACAGTTGCTAGGTCTAGCCCACACAATGCATTACGTGACGAGCGTGAGTCGACCGCGAAGGGATCGTGAGGGGCGAGATACGCCATCTTTCTTTCCCGCCCCCCTCCTGTCTCACCCTTCGCGCATTCTACGTGCGTTCTACGCGCATTCCTCGTGATCGCCTGAAAAACGCAATTATATGGCGCCAGTGGCGCAGATTAGACGAGACCAAAAGGTGGCTGCGAAGGAGACTGAGTAGGAGAATGGGGTTAGATTGGTCTGAGCAATACGCCTTAGATTGTCTCAGTTGGAAGGTATGACAACAAACGACGGTCATGTTCTGAAGTTGTTTTGTTGCTGTACAGACGCGAACGTGTACCTTGCGAGAGGCAATCATCATAGGAAGTTTGATCTCCAAGACCAGTATACCAGTTTTACACTCAAGCGCTGCCATGTTGAAAATTGCTGAAATGGATTATTCAGGTAACTGTTCATCCCCCCTGTATTTTGTTTCTTATTACAAGTAAGGTTGGAAGAGTATGCCCTTGCAATTTGTTCACCCCCACATAAGTTTCAAGAAAGTCAGGTTCTATCAACTGCCTCTCGGGAATTGAGCTTGCGCTCTTCCCCCTCTAGTTCCTTCTCTGAAGGATTGGTGACCGAACCCAAGAAAAGGCAGAAGTCAAGTCGAAGTTGAAGTGCACTTTAAATTTTTGATTCGTTCGTCTGTTTCGATGGTACGTTATCCATGGTCTTATTTGTTCAATTTTTTTTTCGCTAGGTGCAAACAGCATTTTTTTGCGACACTTTTTTGACAAGAAATACGCATTACCCTACAGAGTGATAGATGCGGTTGTCTATCACTTCTTACGGTGAGTGTTGCAGCTTGAGATTGGAATGAACCTAACAAGGTCTTACATCAGTCGGTCGTTAGCGGAGCCTCTGTTGCCCAAGACGATTGCAGTAGCTTAATTAAATAGAAGGCCTGTAGAATGCTTAATATAATAATTTTAAAATGCCTTCGAGCTTCATTTATTAGTCAGGCAGGGCTTTCAAAGGGGCAGCAACAAGAGGGTACGGGGATCTCACTGCAGCGGAGAGAGAAATCTAGGAGGAACTAGGATGCTTTGATTCGATCCTTTTTAAACCAGTGGAGGAAAAATACACTTATAAACAGCCAGTTCCCCTTGTAAGGCTCTTGCTTTGCTTTGTGTCATTGTTAAGATGCAGTTAACCTTATTTCATTTTGTTTCTTCTTCATTTCAACCCAGGTTCTTATCTGATAAAGGTATTCTCCCAGTGTTATGGCATCAAAGTTTACTAACATTTGTTCAGAGGTAACTTTGGTCTGTTATTGATTTTTGTATCTTGAGTTTTTAACAGATCGCGAATGTCCTTTTTCAAAGGGTTACTGTCAGTCGCGATATTTTACTTTGTCGTTGATCATAACTGCGACGACCACCAGCAGACTTCCAGAAGGAACAGTGGAACCCCGTTAAACGAAAACTGTCCACGCCCTTCTTCGTGCTAAATGTTCTGAACTTGTGAGGATAGTAGGATTCACGATACGTAAAAAAAAAATTCTCAAAAATAAACTCTACGTAACCCCTTCAAATGCGTGCCCAAGTTTCTCCATACCCTATTTACTCAGTTAAACGGAAATCTTCAAGCGTTACCGATCTTTAACTGAGACCAGTTACCGTAAAACGTTTGTAATTTGCACGATTTTTTTTTTTTTTTCTTTTTCGATTTTCTTATGGCTCGCATTTTGGCTGAGATAGAATCTTAATTGCCGGCCTTGTGATACATGTATGTACACCTACCATTGCAATGATTGTTTAGATTACCGATTGTAACATACTCGTTATTATTAATTTGGTTCATGATACTCGGATAAACTCCATATTGTCCAAATTGAGTGCAGTGTGTTACCGGTAAGTCAATCGCAGTCAGTAAATATGGGTGATTTTGTTTCTCTCTGCGGTGTTCACTCGGAGAGTTGTTTCATTCAATAAAAACCGAACGGTTTGCTAGAGTGGACGGGGGTGGGGGGCGCAAATCAGCGTAGAAGTGAGAATGAATCAAAGGAGAAAGCGGATGGTTTGGTACAGAGAAGATTAGAGCGGATTTTGTGTTTGTGTTCACCGTTGGATTTATTCGCTTACCCTACGGACTAATAGTGGATGTTGCATATGTTGCAGGTATAAAGAGGATGTATCCAGTGAACAAAAAGACGCCCTGATGGAATTGTGTAGAGTGCAGGTCCATGATCAGGTAAATCGAGTGTGTCTTATGTTATATGTCTTTCTCCACTTGTTTTCGGCCTTTTCCAGTGATGATGATAAAAATTTAGTTAGAACTAGACCTGATTTTTCGTTAAACGCGGTCTTCCCACAGTCGTTTGGTACCTAACTTTTCAGGGAAAGTCGCCCAATCTGTGTTATGCAATCAAGTAGTAATTTGTAACGTTTCCATTCTTACGTTTTCATCATCTAAGGTTAAAGAAAGACATGCATTTGCATGAAATATCGTCTGTGTTCCGTTGCTGCCTCGTTTGTACGGGTGTCAAGTCTTAAAAGGTCGCGTGAGCTTTCTAAACGATCGCCGGCCACTGCCCACTAAGATTCTACTTCTTGCGAACCTTTTTTTGTACCTTATGGTATGACGTCAGTCATACTATGAGGCCATTAGTGCCCTTCTTTTACATCAAAGATAGGCCACTAGTGTTCAAAATCCAAAATCGGCCACAAGTCTTTTGGAGGTGGCAAAAAGTGATTAAGTCATACCGCGAGAGAGCTCAAAGGAACCTTTGATCTAATTCCTTCGCAAAATAGCGACGTTGGAAAGCCTTAAGCTGGGAGCACTGTAAAAACGTATGTTGATATTCCTAAAGTAACAATCCTCATAAATGTACGGAAAGACTTGTGTTTGGTGTTTTCAACTAATTGAGATTCTTTGTTTGTCGTAGATTACACCTGAAGTTCGTCGAGAGTTGAGCCACTCCAAGTCAAGGGATGCAGAGCTAGACTCCATGGACGTTTAAAAGACAATTGCATTCTATAGTAGTCATTTCCTCCTTAGCTGTGGAACTACCGTCGAAAATTTTACAGAGAACATAATCATCCAAAACACTGGGCTTTATTCCAAGGGTTTTTTTACGGCGTAGAACGCTTGAAATTTAAACAATTCAAAGTGGTTTAGCGTTAGCAACAAAGTGCCGCACAAATGGTCATAGTACATTTTCTCGCTTCTAAAATGTTTATGCAAAGTGTTCCGGTCTGCAGTGAATAAGCGGTGATAAAATGGATGTTTGCGAGAATTTTCTCGACCGTATGGATATCAAGTCCGCGAGGGTCGACTAACCAGATCGCTGATTTCTTGCATCTTCTGGAATTTCTTAAAGTCTCCAACTTTTATGATTAGTTCAAAGAAGAGATGCGAATACTTGTACGTGAGCATGTTTCAAGTGTCTAGCTTGCTTACGGAACGATTCAAAAGAGAGTTTTTACTTTCAGAACCTGCAAACAGCTCTTTTCCAACCAATGAAAAACTTCAGGTTACAGACTGAGAGCTCTGAAACTTTCAACGATAAACGAATACAAAGTGCCTTTTTACACGATGTTACTTTACAGTCGCATGTGGGACTCTGGTATTTTTAAATAAAAGATATACTGTGGCTTGAATTCGTTGTGTTCTTCCTGTTTCCAAAGGATCTGTTTTCACTTCTTTGTCACGCTTTTTATCCTCTTACTTTTCTGCTCCTTCTTTAAACCACTTACAAGTTACAACATTCACATAAATCAGGATATGAAAGAGAGAGAGGAAGGTTGAGAAGTCTATTCAAATGAGTTCATGATTATGGGAGGAAAATTCAACTACCACTAAATGTTATCGGTTCATAAAGTTCTTTACAAAAAGTGCTCCTTAATTAATCTTCTTGGCAGCCGATTCTTGGGCTATTACCCAACGTGTTCTCGGAGAATCGAGGAACATCCTCTGTAGGTGTGTTGCGTGAAGTAGCAGTCTCCTTTGACGTTGTCATTTGGAGTGATACGCAACGCCCCGAACACCCTCTCCCCACCTCCTCCAACTAGTCCCCATCCTAGGGGATGTTTCTCTGAGGAAAGGTTGTGTAATAACCCGAGAAACGGATGCGAGGAAGATTAAGGAAGCACCTGTAGAGAACTAAAAAGAGAGCCAGTACAATAAGCAATCCTAAGTTATTCCCGCTTCAGCGAACACTTGTGACCGACTAATACTGTCTGATTTAAAACACCATTGTCCGATTTTAGATGGTAGTGTCTGCTTATGAACGCTGGTGTCCGATCTTTAGACAATATCCGATTATGGACACTAGTGTCTGATTTTAGACACCAGTGCCTAAAAATGTCATACTAGTGGCTTGTTTTGGATAACAGTGTCCGATTTCAAACATCAGGGTCCTATTTTACACACTAGTGTCCGATCTTAGACACTAGAGTTTAATTTCGAACATCAGTGTCCGATCTTAGACACTACTGTGTGATCTTATACTAAAGTGACAAAATTTTTCATGAAAGCTCAGGTATTCGATTACAGTTACAACTGTCCGATTTGAGAGGTAAGTGGTACACGGTTCTCGAGTGGAGAGAGATCAAGGCCGAAATGATACGTAAAGTGTTAATATTTCAGAAAGTGATTGTGATTCGTGAACTTATGAATCAACGTGAGTCGTGAAGTATATAATATCGAATAGAATATTTGAAATATAGAATTTATATTATCAATTCAAGAATAGTATAAAAATATTATATACATATATTCTTTCATTTCGCGAAAATCTCAAGATTTCCCTCAAACCTAGCGCATAAATAACTCGTGACGCCTGAAATGCTGTAAAAGCATATGCGTCACGTTCATTTTTTTAAGAATCGTGGGTGAAACGGAATCAGTTCCCTTTCCCATCTCCTCCTTGCGCTGCTCCTCGCATATAGATACCAAAATGAGAATATTGTGTTGATAATATTGTGTTGTACCAAGAACTCCTCGGTGTAGATAAACTGAACAATGCAAAGCCTAAAGCAAAATTTAACACAGGTAGTCTTGTTGTCTTAGTTCAATTAAGTTGTCCTCGTGTGGTTTGGCGAGGTACGACTTTCCATTAGTCTCTTTTGCCTTCGTCCATAGATGATGACTTCGTGGGAAAGACATTTGTTCCTCATATTCCCTAACACATTGATCAGACAGCATGGGGGAAAGCTTTAACAAGATTAATTTAAGCCGGAAATTGTAGTTACCACACTGGAAAGTTAAAACTCAAGTTTGAGGTCCAAAATATGTTTGATATTCAGAACGTAACGTCTGAGGCGGAATACAACACCTAGTTACATAACATGACCTCTTTTTAAGGCCCCTCCCCTTTTCTCATCTTTCGTTCGTAGGAGTTTTGACACTTTTTGACTTGACATATTAAATAAACAAGTAAAAAGATAAGATAAGATAAAAAGATCTTTAGGAGTTAAAAATGGGAGTATGTTGCGCTGTTTTGGAATTTTTGGAAGTCATCATCTGGCGATCGATGTCTTAGCACGTGAACTCTACTTCCATGTTTGTTTGGCCTTTCCATAGCAATTACGGGTAAACATGCCGTTTTAGCGACGTAATTGCTCCTGAAGAGCGCCATCCTGTTCCGAAGGACGTACAAGAATTGGGTAACATCGGAAAGTCTTGGTAATCTTCTTATTTTTCACTGATTTTCGCTTCCGCTTCTCTAAACATTTTTTCCAAATTTTTTTTCAACATTTTGTCTCTTAGCGGTTAGCAGTAACTGGAGCGACGAATTTTAGGGTCATATCCTGTCGTCCCAGGAAAATCTATCGCGTTCCAATGTTGATCTAAAAAACAACTTTCGCCTCTGAATGTGTTTTCCTCATGACTCTCGATAAACAGTGGGACAAAAGAAGTGCGTTTCAATTCTTTTGTTAATGTTGAAAAGAAATTGTTGTTTTATATGTCGCAACTTTTCCACCTACTCATTTAAGGGCGTCGCCGCACTTTTCTCAGCAAAAAAATCCCTGGAGATTCTTGATAAGCCAATTAAACTGTGGGGAATTGTTCAAAGTGATTGACAATCGGAAATGTGATGGTTTACGATAAAAACCCTTTGCACTCACCTGAAGTAACTACAACTCGACGTGAGCCGAAGTGGGCTATATTTTGTGCGAAATGACTCGAAATTTGGGGACTTTCCTCGTGGTAGTCATTATTGCGGCTGGCTGCTTAGGTATGTGTTAGTTTTGTCATCAAGTTGAGTTGCTGATCTGTTGTAAACGCCCGTCAATTGATAGGGTGCTCTCGAAGAAAGCGAATTGCGTTGCTGAGGCTTCTGTTAACGAAAGCTTCTCTCTGCAGGAGTATTTTTTGATATTTTAAGCGTATTCATCACTAGCTCTTTCGGTTCTCTTGCCTTGGCTCAACTTGACTATATTCACGAAATTCTCGGGTTTTTTGGTACAACGTATAATGCGAGAAAATTATGGAGGAGTGCGCCGAATTTTTATCATAACGTTATAGTACTACCAAAAATATCTGTTTTATCCCAGTTAGCTTTTTAGTACATAACCACAATTCGCTTGTTGATAAGTCAAAATACTGAAGCAATGTTTGTTGTTGAAAATCTACGTAAGGGTTTTTCCAATTGGTTTTAATGGTATTTTTAGAAATCTTTCTCCTGGGACTGCTTTTTCTAGACGTGACCTTTACTTTGACCTGTTTATTTTATCCCATTCCGACCTTCATCACCTTTACTTCTGTTCTGTTTACAGAAGAACAAGGCGATTCAATTTCTTCAGTGAATAAATTCTTGAGATTTTTTTGTCGCTTTTTCCCAACTCCAAGTTGTTACGCTTAAGTTGTGTTGTTAACCTTTTCTTACATGTTGATCGGCCTTCTCGCTCGATTGTAACACATACCTCGATCCTATAACATTCGTCGTGGTTTTGCGATTGTTTCTGGTCGACTTATGAGCACCGAGCAAATGTTACCGAAACCTTTCACTCTTAAGACCTATTCGTCAATTTTCTGCATGGAAAGTTTAGATTGATTTTAATTTTAACCGTGATTATTTGGAGCATAAAATCGAACTTTGTCGACTAGTCTATTTTTTTTCCTATATTCTCTTCACCTTCATATTTAAAATTGTATCAAGGCTGTCATGAGAAGTTACGTATTGGTCATCCATTCTTGTAAGCGAAAAGGCTATGCATTGTGTTTTTGTTGGGATCGAATTGCAAAATCAAAACAAGTTTCCAGTTTTGGCTGAGGGTCCATTTACTGGTACTTTAGTGTATATCAATTGAAACTAATTATGTAACCCTTGATTAAATGCCCAAGAAAAAATTTCCCTTACAATATAAATTAATATCAAGTAGACAAGTGCTTTTGACAAAGGAAAATATTAATTGAGGGTTTTTTAGTTGATCCAATACCAATATGCCAGACAGTAAGGAGAATTTCTAATGAGATCTTTTGATGAGTGTTTAGTTTTACCCATAATCAAACTTTGGCTATTATTAAACAGCAAATCATTGGTTGTGCAATCTTGGAAAGGAGTAAACTTCCATTTTTCAACAAAACAAGCATGGTATGCAGCTGATGAGACAGAAATTGTTTCAAAATTATGGAAATGTCAAACTATCTATTTAAAATTATAAAAATTATGCACCTTTATAACAATGGTTTGCCCTAAGCCAGGTTGGGGGGGGGGAGGGAATTTTAACTTTTCAGTCAATTTCCTTATCAAATTTCCTTGCCTGGTGACCAAAGAGGTTGTATACAGGTACCAATTTCAAAAATTTCATCAGGTGACTTCCAGAGGCAGTGTGTGTGCGTGCGCATGAAAATCCCTTTACTAGGGGGCTCCTCAAAGTCAGATTTTTTGTGGTTAACCTGCCAAACCCCCCCTCCTCCTTGGAGAAACCTTTGATAGGTGCAATAAAAAACAGTAGCACAGGGAAACCATCAAGTTGTAAGTATTGTAGGGGTTTATCCCAAGTTTGTGTGAGCATTATCATTTCTAAAAAAAGATCTTAAAAGCAATGAGAAGAGTACATCTTTTTACAAGCTTGGAGAGAGTTGAACATTTATTCAGTGACCTCAGATATTTGTGCAAAGTAGTTTAAGTGATTGTAAACCTGGTGAAAAGGCCAAGGTTAACCAAGAGTGTTTATGGACTTAAATTAACATGCCTTGTATTCAATTATAGGTGACTTATGCACTGAAACAAAATGCACTGGCCAGGGACAAGTTTGTTCCGTTGACAAAAATAACAAAGCTGTATGTAAATGTCGTGATTCTTGCCCAAGGTCGGACCGTAAAAGAGTCTGTGGGTCCGATGGTATCACTTACCGAAATCGCTGTCACCTAGATATGACGTCATGTAAGCTGAGTGAAAGCATTACAGTGGTTTCTGTTGGTAAATGCGGAGGTGAGTTAAGTGATGGTGATAGATTTTAGTTATATTTATGATAAATCCTCTATTAAGCCCCCCCCTCCAAATAATGAGCCCCCCTTCTCTTAAGAGGAAGAAATTAGGCCCTCCCACCCCTCCCACTCAAAAAAAAATATATATATATATCAGAATAACACTCCATGTCAGTAAGTTCGATAAATTTATTCAAGTACTGAAATTTAATCATATAACTTGGCAGACTTTACTGAGGATTTAGACTCTGCCAATTTGGTGAATGAAAAAATTTAAATGAGAACATTTTTGGAATAAGTATGGTACATCATATCCTATTGCATATTGGTAGTGAAAATTGGGCTGAATTAATATGCCCCACTCTTATGAGCCCTCCCGCCCCCCTAGCATCTAAAATAAGTCCCCAAGAGAGCTTAATGGAGGATTTACAGTGGTTAGAAAAGGGAAATTCTGCTCACCAGGTAATAGTTATGTTCAGCTATTCATTTGGCTGAAGACTTTATGGAGTAGTTACATTTGAATTGCCTTTCAAAATTGAAGGTTAAATCAAAAACTGCTTCCATTTTAGCCAAACTCATTAAGAAAGTAATTATAAATGAAGCCTGGTATACAACTACAAACAGAGCTCTTAGCTACAGGTTATCCCATAGTCAATAATAGTTATAATGGTCTTCTGCTCACTTTCTTCCTCAGAGATTCCTTTAGAAATCAGCCCACAGCATCAATCTTCACAAACTCTCTATGCTGGAGAGCCAGGCAAAATCGAATGCAAGATCCTTGGAAAGGCTGCCCAATACTTGTGGCAAAAAGTTGGCACAAGAATTTTACCATATGGCAGAGTATTATCTCTAAATTCGAATAAACTTCTTTTCCGCCGAGTCCAGTTGAAAGATGCTGGGAGATATGAGTGCCGTGCATATTCAGGATCAATGCGTGTAGTGGTCCCAATAACTGTTGTTGTGCTAGGTAGGTTGACTTCTCAGCAAACAGATGCTTCAAGTATCTGCCACTGCAAAGATTAATCAGCCAATCAAAACTGTGACAAAATTCTTAAAGGCCATCATGTGTAATTAGAGATTTTAAAAGGACTTAATCGTAATTGGACAATATCCATCTTTTAGGATTACTGGCTTCATTTTCTCCTGGATTTTGATTTATAAATGTTTCACTAAATTTGACTGCAGGCCTTCTTATCATCTTTTATTTTCAATGAAGACAGCCATTCGTTCAGTCAGTCATTCACTTAATATATCAATCAGAAATTAATGAGTAAATCAATTAGTGCAAGTGTCTGCTAATTGGTCCTAAAAAGAAATGTTGTGGGTGATATTTAGTGACATTTTGTCAATCAAGGCAGAAGTGTCATTATGGTAAGGCAGTTATTGACAGAATCAACTAGCTGATTGGTCAATCCAGTAGTCAGTCTTCCATGCACTCATTTTCTCAGTCAATCAGTCAGTCAGTCACTCATGCATTTCATTAGATGCAGTCAGTCAGCAAGTCTAGATTATTTTCAGTAAGGACTCTATGAACAGAACCTGCATTTAAAATAGAACCTGCATTTAAAACAGAATCTGCATTTCAAACAGATCCCAAGACAAAGGACACAGCTGTGGCATCAAATCAAGTTTGCACTTTGGAAAAACTTGTTGGTATAGGCACTGATCCATCCAAGTTCAGTACTCGATGGTACTTTGACAGCGTGGAATCCTTGATGTGTGTTTCATTTCTGTACAGAGGAACTGGTGGCAATAAAAACAATTTTAAGACTAAAGCTGAATGTTTGCGAAAGTGCTCTCATGCTGGTATCAATTTGAAAATCCTTTATCATATTACTTTATTGATGGAGTCTATTTCTGTGGATTTTCGACAATGGGTACAAATACACTCCAATTAAATTTGAAAATTAAACTTTTTTTTTTTCAGCTGGGGATGTCTGTGCTCTTCCCAAATTGCCTGGTATTTGTATGGCTTATTTTCCGAGATGGTTTTTTAACAGGAAAACTAAAAAATGTGAATCTTTCATATATGGTGGATGTTATGGCAATGCCAACAATTTTATCACAGAGAGGGAATGTAAGAAATCTTGTTCAGGTAATTTAAGTTTAAGAGAGGGAAGTAAACATGTGATGAATAATTTATAGTGGCAATATAATTACAGTGTGCAGTTTACCAGTATGCCAATTTTATTGATGGATGTGCTCAATTCTGAAAAATAATATTCCACACAGTTAAAAGGAAGAATTTGGCTCAAAAAAGCTTTAATGTAATGGCAATTGTAATTAGAACAGAAATTATAGTAATTACAATGACAATTAGTTGTCTTTGAATCACTGTACCTGACCTATGACATATATTGTAACACTTGGTTCTATCAACTTGTAGAAGTGGATGATGTTGACATTCAGATCTTAGCAGCATAGACCACTTTCATAAATGGCTGCCAGATTAATATTCTTTTGTTTAAATTTAAATTAGCCCTTCTGGCCTCGCTTGAGATAATGTATTCTGTTGAATTTTGTACTGGAGAATGAGGCCAGAAGGGTTAATTTAAATTTAAACAAAAGAATATTAATCCGGCAGCCATTTATGAAAGTGGTCTATGCATTATGTTTGTCATGGAAGACCGATTGAATGTGTCATAGTGCTACCGACAGTACCATATTAAAGAAGGAAAGTTTCAAAGTTCAGTCCGTGTTGTAAACATTCACTATTTTCTTCTCAGTTACTAGCATACCTATTTCATTGACCCTTGTTCTCTTTTTTTTTTTTTTTTTTCAATGATTTTCCTTTCAGCGGAAGTTGTTTGCAAATTACAGCCAGATGTTGGGCTGTGCAAAGGATATTTCCCTAGATACTTCTTTAACGACACATCAGGGCAGTGTGAGAAGTTCATATATGGAGGATGTGAAGGAAACAGTAACAACTTTCACACCATAGAACTGTGTCAGAAGAAGTGCCAACCTGGTAACTAAGGCTTACTTCAGTCTATTGTTAACCAATTGATTCACTCTTTGAGAGTGAATAGTATGTACATGTAACTTCTCCTTACAATATCACCCCTTAGTGACACATTAACTTAACCCATTAACTCCCATGAGTGACCAAGACAGAATTTCTCCTTACTAAATCAATACAATATCAAGCAGACAAGTGATGAGAGTAGAGAAAAATATCAATAAGGGGATAATTGGTTGATCCAATACCAAAATCTTCAAACTGGTATCATAAGGATTTTATGGCAGACAGTAATGAGAATTACTATAATTGAGATCTCAGGAGTGAAAGGGTTAAGGACTGAGATTCAAGGAAATCATCACCAACCAAAGAAGCTCTTGATTGTTAATGAAATTCTCCTCCTCAAGATCTAGAGCTGCTTTAGTTGGTGATGATTTCGGAATCTTTATTCTCATTACCTAAATGCCGTCAGTGATGTTATAAAGAGAAATAAGGTCACTCTCAGGGACCGGGCTCCAGTTGTTCAAAGGGCGAATAATGCTATCCAATGAGTAAATTGCTATCCAGCAGAAAAGTGTTACCAAAACGTACTGCACTATCCACTGGATAGAGATTTATCCAGTGTATGGCGTTATCCATCCTTCAAACAACCGGGGCCAGAGGTTTAAGATCTCATCTATGAATTGTTTACCTTCTGCAGTAGAAAATCCTAAATCTGACTCTTGCTGGATGTTTCCTTAGACTTAATGTTTACCTGTCTTAAGTGAGTTAAGGAGGTTTTTTTAAGGTTAACTTGACTCACCATTTCTGTTGTTCTATTTGAACAGTGTGAAATTCTATTTGAACCGTGTGAAATTGTTAATTTAGTTGTTTGGTAGAATTCTTTAGAATTTATCATCTTAATTTTTTATTCGACATCTCTTTTGTTTCAGCATCTGATTTTGCTGTTCAAGGTAGGTAGTTGTTCGATTATTTGAATTTATTACTTTTTGTTCAAGGTTTTCCCTCAAATTTTATTGGTAAGCATGGACTAGCCATTAAAACCTCACTGCATGTAACTAGGAAGATTTTCTGCATAGCAACTAAAAAATCTGTAGTTGTGTAACTAAAATACAAACTCAAACCATTAGATAGGTAATTGCTTTATAGGTTTTGTGCAATTATTTTTGCAGTTAAACCTGGCCGCTGTCCATGGCGTAGGAGTATTCTTAGGTTTTGCCTTCTGGGACAGGATACTTGTGCAACTGATCAAGAGTGTCCGGGTGATAACAAGTGTTGCCATGACGGCTGTAGTCATTCATGTGCTTCCCCAGTGAGTGAAGTCAAACCAGGTCAGTGTCCAAAAGTAGACAAAAAGAATGGGACTGTCTGTAACAAGATGGGAGACATGTGTGACAAGGATGCTGATTGTCCAGCAAGTCGAAAGTGTTGTGACAATGGCTGCCAGAAGGACTGCACCATGCCAGAATCTGTGCGTGCATTAAAACCTGGTGTTTGCCCTCAAAACAGCACAGTTGATCCAAAGTTGTGCAAAAGTATGAAAAATGAATGTGAGGTTGATGGTGATTGCTTCGGTCATTTGAAATGTTGTTTTAATGGATGTCATAAGGAGTGTTCTGCGACACCGGTTCCAAAGCCAGGGGAGTGTCCCTTGAATGATTTCATACCACCTGAACTGTGTGAAGTAACAGAAGACAACTGTAAAAATGACCAGGATTGTAAAGGAAGGGATAAGTGTTGTGCGACAGGATGTAATCTGGATTGTATGACCCCTCCCATTCCAGAGAAACGAGGTCAGTGCCCTATTGTGGATTATATTGATCCTGAAGCTTGTGAAGAAACAACAGATGAGTGCAGTGAAGATTTTGATTGTAAAGGGAAAGACAAATGTTGTGCAACCGGCTGCAAGAATGAGTGTATATCACCACCACGTGAACCTGCTACCATCAGAAAGGATGGTCAATGTCCTAAACCATGGAAGGGACTTGATGGTATCTGTGACCGACGTGGGGACATGTGCGCTGGTGATGATGATTGCAGTGGACCCCAAAGGTGCTGTTTTAATGGATGCCAAAGAGATTGCATTGCACCTGTACCTGCAGATAAACCTGGTGAGTGTCCAAGCCCTTGGAAAGGACAAGATGGTATTTGTGATCGTCGTGGAGACATGTGCAATGTAGATATTGATTGCGATGCTTCTGAAAAGTGCTGCTTCAATGGCTGCCAGAGGGATTGTGTTAAACCTAGCATTGGCAAGAAATCTTCAGGGAAGCCTGGTCAGTGTCCAAGTCCATGGAAACAGCAACCATGTGACAGAAAGGGAGATGTATGTGGAGAAGATATTGACTGTACTTCTGGAAGCAAATGTTGTCACAGTGGCTGTCAGAGGGATTGCGTCAAACCAGGTGAGGATGTCCACTTGCTTTAACTGTACTGTACTTTCCTATAAGTTGACTGTTAAAAGTAAATTGTAATAAAGTTTTGGTTGCATTATAGTTTTGCTTTACGTGGCCTTGTGATTAGTCTAGAAAGTTAGTGCAACCCTCGCAACTAAGATTTTGTGATTTTGTGACATTAATTTTCTTCACTGATGTTTTTGATATGATTGATAGTTTTCCTGTTTTCAGTTTAGTGGCAAAACATCTCTTAAAATTTTGGCTCAGTAAACTTGGTGTTAAATCACAGATTTTTACTTGTCTTCCATATCAAATTTCTGCCCACAAATATACAGTTATTTTGTGGAGAAATTTCTTCTCCGTCATTTGTAAGAATGAAAGGGTAAAACAAATGATTAGGACGTTCAACTTATAGTGCCTGTATGTAATGACATGTACAATCAGACATCTTGTTCTAAATACAGTTGAACCTGTATTAAGCGGCACTTTAATTTATTAACAGCAAATCTGTGCAAAAATCAAACATTGCATGGCAAAGTTAAAAAAACTAAAATTCACTGTTCTTTTGCATACAAGTAGCCTTTAGAAAGTAGACAATTGCTGTGTAGTTTTTTCCTTAAAAAAAATTATTTGCTTCCGAAAAAAACGAAAATGTTTTCAGTCCCAGGATCGATTTGAAAATGGCTTCCATCGTTTTTCTCAGGAATTAACAGATATTTCAAGGAAAAAACTGCATGGCATTTATATACTTACTAAAGGCTATCTATATGCAAAAGACAAGTGAATTTGATTTTTTTCAGCTTTGCCGAAGATTTGCGATTTTGTTTGATTCTTGCACGGATCTGCCCTTAAGTTGCCACCGTGTATTAAGCAATCAGTTGTCAAAGTCCCAAAGTTGTTTCCCCTTTAACATTAATTTTCACTTCTATTAAGCAGTTGTGGTGGATCCTTTACAGAGTCCCAACATCCTGTTTCTATTTTCTTCCACCTGTCTTGATCGAATGGCCATGTAAAAGCAGAACCACTTAAATCAAACTATGAACAAGCATTCAAGTATATATTATCCATTTTTATCTCCTGAAATCAATGCTAGTAGTAATTTTGGCAGAGTGGTTAGGGTGCTGGACTTGTAATCCGGTGTCCTGGGTTCAAGTCCTCCACCTTGCCACTTACTCAGGATTTGTTCTCAGTTGCTCCTAGTTCAACTCCTCGGCTGCACTCTGTAAATAGCCTATTGGTCTGCCTCCTACCAGTGGGGATTTTTAAGCACTTAGCTAGTCTATATTATGGGTGAAAAGCCCCTAGGGGGAAGCTTCAATTTACGTATTTATTATTATATTTATTTATTTAGTGGTCAATTACAAAAACGAAGGAGATACAAGTAAAATGGCATTTTTCACCATTTTTACAAAACCCTTATTCTAAGGGTAAGCAAACAACCTGTATGAACCCTTGAACTTCCACAAGGGATAAACTTGTAACTTCTCCCTACAATATCCATACATTATCTAGCAAACAGGTAATGAGAATACACATAATTTATTTATCAGGCAGAAGTTGTTAACTTGATCTAACACAAAATTTTCATAACTAAGGTACAAGGAAATGTTAAGCAGCTGTAAAAGGAGTATTAACAATCAGATCATGGGTATTTAAGGGTTGAGTGGTCATCCCACCATTTCCAAGGTTCAACTGTATTCTCAATAGACATGTATTTTAAATAGAAAATCTTACAAAATGCCAAGAGGAAACCCAATCTGCTTTGGACAAGTTAGCAGCAGACCCCCCTCTGCTTGGTGTCTTTGTTCCAAGGTGTAAGCCAGATGGTGATTATGAGGACCAGCAGTGTCATGAACTGTACTGCTGGTGTGTTGACGGAGGTGGACAAAAAATATCTGGCACAGAGGTACAGGGCACAGCAGTCTGTTCAAATCAAGGTAAGAACACAACTTTTTTATGAAAAGTATTATTCCTTGCCGATGCTTGTTGAATCAATTGCTGGAAAATTTAATCCTGCAACTGCTAGCATTTTTGCAGAGGGACCAATCTTGTCCAGACAAGCTGGTAAATGTTTGAAGAAGGTTCCAAAAGCAATCTAATTTTCAGTGCCCCTACCCCCCTACCCCCAGGAAAGGCATTGGTAGAAGTATTTGGGTTTATTTTACACAATCTTTTTTACTCTATACATCTATAGCATGGATTTTCCTCTGATTTGCCTGTATTAGCTGGTGTGACATCAAATTGTTTAATCTGTTGGTTAGAGGCTTACACCCAAGGGGTGAAGGTGGCAGATGTAACACAATTCTGTATTGAAATATAGCCTTTCATCAGTATAATTTAATGTAGTAATGAAATTTGTGTTGCCAAAATATGACTGTCCTGGGAATTAATGGCTGGGTGTTTTCCTCCTCCTAAACCTTGCTTCAGAGGGGGGGAGTCTGACTTCACCCTACAGCTGTGTAATTATTCATCCTGGAATTTCTGAGACTAATTAAAAATACAATTCTATTGTTGGTAACATTCCACTTTACAGCAAAACCTGGAACATGTCCTAGACCCTGGTTGGGTCAAGAGGGGGTTTGTAACTTGCTTCCTGACATGTGCCAGCACGATTCTGATTGTGATGGAGACCGCAGGTGTTGCTTTAATGGCTGTCAGAATTACTGCGCATCTCCAGGTATGAACTTAGCGAAAATGGAAGAAAGAGAAAAGAATGAAGAAATGTTGTGAGCAAGGAAAAGATGTGTTTGTTTGCATATTCTCTATATTATTTATACATTTCTTAAAGTGCTTACAAGGAGACTTGTTTCCAATACGCACAAGGAGAATTGGTTTAACAATCAAGAACTTCTTTCGTTGGTGATCATTTCTTTTATTCTTCTGACCTTAATGTGTGGTTCAGGGGGACATGGAAAGGAGAAATTATATGCTAGTTACTGTCGGGGGTCAACAATTTAATAGGACTCGGGGAAATGTTTCCAATACGCACTTTGTTAGTCCAAATAATTATGAAAATGGAACTCATAAGAATTAGTAAATTCCTATTGCCCATTTTTGTTGTATAGAACCACAAAGTTTTCATCCTGCTAAACACAAATTATTGCCGTTCCACTTGATGAAATCCTGTAATTTCTTTCAAAGTGTTAAATGATCAAAGGCTGATAGTTTCTAAAGAAACTGTTTGGGGCTGCATCATTGGGGGTAATGAAATAATTTGACCAAATTACTATTTCAACTTTGTTAATTGATCAGTTTGAGACATTTAAATTAACTTGTCAAATTTGATGAGCAATACTTTGGAATTTCTTCATCTCAGTTGGTATCAAACTCTGCATAAGACACAGGAAGAGAGAGATGTCAAAAAGTCATAGAGGACGTCCCTTAATTGGAACATTCATACCTTCCTGCAAACTGAATGGTGATTACGAGGAAGTGCAGTGTCATGGATCCACTGGGAATTGCTGGTGTGTAGACAAGTTTGGTAATGAACTGGAAGGTACTCGAGTCAGAGGAGAACCAAATTGTACCACATCAGGTATGATGTCAAAGAATTGTAGGGCACGTTCATAAAATTGTTTCAACTTTACTTTTGACCTTATGCTGTAGTGGTAACGGTCTCAAGGAGTGCATTTCTTCGGTATGATCCAGATCAGGATCATTGATCTGAGATCGCTTGGATCATGGTGCACCAAGGGATTGAAGATTGGGTGTGTAGTATCAGTCACATGACTATAAGTGTGAAATATTAGCAGGCACAAGAGCAGAAAACAAAATGCTGTACAGAGTCACTAAATTCAAATCTCTTGCCAAAGGAACATAGCAAATCAGCGATCTGATGATCTGTTATCAGGTCACTTGGATCAATGATCCAAGGAATCCTTGTACAGAGTGGATTCAATGGATGAATGATCTGAAAATGGATTCCCTCCAAAGAAATGCTATAGATCAGAAATCCATATCGCAGTCATCCAAAAGGATTGCATCCAAATACTCAAATTGAAGTGTATACACTGTACATGAATAAAATTGTGACCATTACTGTGGAATTTCTTTCTATCAGTTGGTATCACGCCATGCACAAGACAAAAGATGAGCGTGCTTTCAAGGAACCAAGGGGGTGTTCCCTTAATAGGAGCATTCACACCTTCCTGCAAACCAAATGGTGATTATGAGGAAGTCCAGTGTCATGGTTCTATTGGGTTCTGCTGGTGTGTTGACAGTCTCGGAAATGAAGTAGAAGGTACTCGAGTCAGAGGAGAACCAAATTGTACAATTTCAGGTAAGGTGACAGAGAACTGCAGTGCCCTTTTGTGAATTACTCTCTTGGTACTTTGGCAATAAGGGCTTCAAAAGGCTTTAAATAGGAGTTCAAAGCTACATGATTAGATGTAATTAATATGTAGCTGGCTCATCCAGAAAAAAAACTTCAGATCTGAAATCACAATTGGTGGTTGAGACTTATTGTATTATGATTAGAATCATTAATAGAGGAGAGGTTAAGCACTGTATTTACAGAAAAGGTCAGCTTTCTGTTATTTTATTGTAATTTTAAAATATTTATGTTGACTGTCATAAGAATTTTTTTTTGAGCTGTTTACCTACAGATGATTGTCAGATTGTGGAAGAATTGAGTTCATCAGACTTCATTTTACACTTAACGTTTGTTGTAATACCTATACAACAAAAACTCTCTAATAGCAGTATGAGTCCTGGAGGTTTACCACCAACAGTTTTGTAAAGTACAGGGACTATGATATATTGGATTAATAAGAAAAATAAATAAGCACTGGTCATTGTTGGTGATTGCCCACTCATTATCAGGTTACAGTAAATCAGAAATATTCTTTAACTATAGTATGTACCTACATCTTTTGGAAGTATTTTACCCCATACAGGATAATGAAATGTAAAGCACCGTTTGGTGAGCCATTGACCCTGTGTCTGCCAGGCCATTGCGGATAATGAGGATATTTTTTTCTATTTTTTAGCAAGTAGAGAGATCAATGGGAAGGAAGGAACTTGTCCTAAGCCTTGGAAGGGGCTCACAGGTTTCTGTGACAAATTGGGTGATGAATGTGGAATGGACTTTCACTGTTCTGTAAATCAGAAATGTTGCTTCAGTGGCTGCCAGCAGATGTGTATGAATACCTCAGAGGCTCACAAGAAAGCAGACATGAAACCTGGCCAGTGTCCCAAACCTTGGCTGGGTAAAGAAGAGCTGTGTGATCGCCGTGGGGATATGTGCGCAAAAGATACTGATTGTAAAGGAAGTGAGCTCTGTTGCTTCAATGGCTGCCAAAAGGATTGTGTCAATCCTGGTTGGTGATATATTCTCTTCATTATTGTAGTAAGAGGATAACAAATGAGGCATATTTTTGACTAACTTGATTTAGTCAGAGTACATGTTAGTTACATTTTTTAAAACATCAGTACAATTTTTTATCATTTTATTAATTTTGGTTTGTAAATCAATTTCCCTATGGTTGCTATTTTGTTAGCCTTTTTTCTTTTTTTTTTTTTTTTTCTTACAAGTAAGGAGGCTCAAAGGTGGTGAACATTGTGCTTTACCAAGCAGCCAGAAATCCAGAGAAAATCAACTCAAATACCTCTTTTTTATCAGGTCTGTCTACCTGTCAGCAAAGATTTGAAGAGTCATTTCTCTTTCCTCAATTGGGTCGCTTTGTTCCGTCATGCAAGAAAAGTGGTGGATTTCAAGAAATGCAGTGTCATCCTTCCACAGGATACTGTTGGTGTGTAGACAGTTATGGCAGGGAACAGCTTGGAACACGAACTAGAGGGAAACCCAACTGTACTCTTCCAGGTAATAGGAAAAGAGTATTTGTGAGTGCATTTTCTTGTATCTTCTGGAGGAATAATACAGACAAATGTAGTAGACATCTGTTTGTACATACACAGTCAAGAATTCCACTTATGCCAGGTGACTCTTGCAAGTCCTCCCCCCCCCCAAGAGATGCGAGGGTATTTTGGGTTACTCCCCCTTCCCCCCAAACATTCCGTTAGATTTTGCTGACATTGTAGAAACCCATTTTTAAGTGTAAGAGCAAAGCGCCTTGCTCAAGAAGATTACACAATTAAATACCATAAGCCATACATTTTGACCTGGTGATTTGAAGTCCAGGTCAGTAGTAGAACCATGTGCAACAGAAATGCATGTTATGATTTCTGATCCAGTGTTACGTGTAAGCTTTTGAACTAAATTTAAAATTAATTTGACATGTATTCACCCCGTCAAAGTCTTGCTCATTTAACATTTGATGTTTTCAGATCCATGTCAGTTCACCACGTGCCCAAATTATGGACAGTGTGTTCCCGCCAAGGACCACAAGTCAGTAGAATGCAAATGTGATATTGCATGCACTAGGATTTATGATCCAGTTTGTGGAACAGATGGCAAAACCTATGGAAATGAGTGCACCCTGAAGGCTGAAGTTTGTGCAGGTAAGAAGAATGTCACTGTTGATTATAAGGGTGAATGTGAAGTAGGTCAGTTGAAAGGTGAATTTATCTAATGCCCTAGTAGGGTTCTGAGTAGGTGCTGTAGGATAATTCAATCAAATAAATCAAGTCCTCACATAGCCTGTGCCCAGGGCTCGTAAACAATCAAAACCATCTCCAATAAGTTTTGGTTTGAACCTGGACTAGAATTCTTTTTTTGTTTTTTTTTTTTGAGGGATGCTTCATATAAACTCTAAAAAGAAGTTTAAAGATAAAAAATTCAAGCATTGGAAAAAGGTCCGGAGTAGTTTTAGTGACAATTATTACTAGTTTAGTTGATACACATGTACATGTTAGATAGTGTTTTGCCATAAACAGGAGAGGAAGAAGAGGGTTTAATTAGATGAAGCATAATTTCATTCTCTGTTCCTACCCGGATAACTTTAGATTTGCATCTCAACCTACTGTGAAACAGTTCACATTGATTTATCTTTACTAGAAGAGAAAGATGACAAAATATGGGTACCAGTTTCATGATCTAGATTTTTTCCCTTAGTATAAAAGTGTTCCCTTTCATTAAGTGCAAATTGAGAAACAGTGAAAAATTAATCTTACTGTAACTTTCCATCTTTCAGTGGATCTTTGTGCTTCAGTAAAGTGCGACTTCTATAGTGAGTGTGATGTCATTGATGGCAATATCACATGTGCCTGCCCTGGTTCAGGTAGCCGTCCAAGCTGTGGCAATGAAGAAGAACCCCTGTGTGGTTCTGATGGAAATATTTATGAGAACCTTTGTCACTTAATGACTGCCTCCTGCCAACAAAAGACAGAGATTAGCCCAGCACTGCCAGAGAGTTGTGGTAGGGTTCTATTTCTTTCATTTTCTATTTAAGCAATGTGGAATGCTGAATATTTAATAGCTGAATCCTTCCTTGCTTTCTTAAATCTATGGGTAATTGTACCTGCAATTAATACAAACTCAATTTGAAAATATGATGGCTTTTTCTTTGGGGCCTACAGCTTACCAGTTGCAAATCATTGTTTTCCTTTAATTGAAAAAGTGTGATGGTATATGGTAATTCCCTGTTCTCTTTAATTGAGCAATGATCTTATTGGTAATTCTCTTTAAAAAATTAATGTTCAAATTCTCTGTGTAGAAATGGCTCCAGTTGTTCAAAATCAGAATTTCACAGTTGTAATCATGATGGTCATAAGAGGGCACCTCCCTATTTTTTTGAAATGATAATTCTTTCCTTCATGTTCTGTGAGTGCTTTAACCCTAATAGGAGAGAAATTTACTTTGGGTAATAACATAATTTGGAGTACAATTTGAAAAATTTCCAAGTGGTTATTTACACCAAATTGCATGAAAAATCATCAAGCATCACAGAAAGTCAAGGCAGATGAAATTTTGATGTGACATGCATGACATATGTAATTTGCACTTTCGTGTTGTAACTTTGCACTCGGGTTATGTGAAGAACCATTCGTTTTCAGCCAATCAGGTGCACATAATTTTTTCATGTATATTATTAGTTCGGTTAAACCCCTTCCTTCCATTTTTTTTCTTAATGACTGCAAGGGTAAACACATTGATAATTACATGTAACTATATCCAGTCATTATTATCAACTTTGCAGAAATAGAAGATGTTGATCCCTGCATCAACATCACATGCAGCCATCCATTGCAAAATTGCACCACAGATGCTGAAGGCAAACCTGTCTGCAGCTGTGCACATCTTGGATCCTGTCCAAAGATCCTACAACCAGTCTGTGGAGATGACGGCCAAAATTATGATAATAAATGTATTTTGGACTTCCTCTCATGTGAGGAGGGCAAAGTTGTGTCTGTAGACTATGAAGGAAATTGTAAAGAGGATATTGCATCAAGTAAGTGAGAAAAAGGTTTGTTACTTTTGGTTGTACAATTATAATAAAAGATTTACATTTAGGCACTATTTCATGACACACTGTGGATTTTTGAACACCTTTTGGCAATTTGTGATTTCTTTTTGATCACTGTAAAATTAATCATTTGAACCAGGGAGTTATGTATGATTGTGTAGTCTGGTCATCCAGGTGAGAGTAGTCCTGGAAAGGACTAATGTCAGTGATGTGACTGATGTTTTGACAACCCAAGTAGAAGTCAAGGTCATAGTCGAGATTTGATACTGACTTGGATAATGACTTCCACCAAGGTTTCCATAACCCTAGTCACCACCAACGTACTCTCTCCTGAGTAACCTCACCTGGAGAAAAAACAGAATATGCAATAAAATTTTTAATCCTTTTCTCCTTGGTAGATTCCAAAACGTACTTAAGATAAATAATGAGCATTATTTTCCTGAAAAAATTAAAAAAAAAAAACAAAAACAAAAACCTGACTTGACATGAAATCAGTAATAATCTCAAAATTCTGTCAACAAAGAGTCTTCATATTTGGTTATCAAATTTAAGGATTTTACTGTTCAGATCAATTGGTTCTGATTTAGAATGGAGTTATGTTTGATTTATGGATGGATTAGTCATTCCTTTTCCAAAACTAATCCTTCGATTGTTTGGTTTAACAGGTATTACACTAGATCCCTGTTCTACGGTCAACTGTAGCCATCCCCTCGCCAGTTGTCAAGACTTAAATGGTACAGCAACCTGTGTTTGCTCAACTGCAGTGACACTTGAATTATTTTATGTCTGTGGTTCTGATGGAGAGACGTATCCAAATCCAAGATCCTTAGAAGTTGCCAGCTGTCTCACTGGAGGTGCTATCAAGAAAGTCAAGGATGGAAAATGTAAGAATAACAATCCATCTTTTAAATACTCGGTATTTCTTAAACACCTAGCAACATGAGACCTGGGAAAAACAGGAGGATATAATATGAGAGCTTGCTTGGCTTTTAGCTTCTGGACCCGCTGTCACTTGTGGATGTTTTTTGTTGTTAGTTCTTGTCCATGCTGCCTGGGTACTTCACTACTTATTATTTCTTACATTTAATTTATTATGTTGCTGGCTCCTTCATAGACAGTCAAACCTGTAGTTAGCGGCACCGTATTTAGCGGTCACCCTGTATTTAACGGTTGGTTTTCACGGTCCCGAAATTTGTTCTCTTTTATTACTATAATTTTTGCCTCAGTGAGGCGTCCACTCTATCAAACGGTCGTGATTACCTTTCACTGAGTCCCGACGGCCTGTTTGTATTGTAATCCATCAGTATTGAACTGTCACTTAAAGCGGAACCACTGCTTTTATTCTAAGAATTATCTTTCAAGCAAAATTTAATCCATGTTTATATCCCGAAATCAATTTTACTTTGTTGTTTTGTTACTTTTGAGTGAGTTTTTGAACAATACCTTTATTCTGTGGAACCTGTAGTAAGCGCTTGATAACAGGTCACTTTACTGTAGTTTCCGCTGAAAAAGTGTCCCAGTATATGACAGTATTTTGCACCTGTGTCGTTTCAGGTTCTAAGCTGATGGATCCCTGTGAAGTCAGCCTTTGTCGCCACAAGCGTCACAGGTGCGAAGTTCAGAATGGCACAGCCACGTGTGTTTGTAATGCAGCATGTACACTGGAGTACGATCCAGTCTGTGCTTCTAATAACAACACATATCCCAACCTGTGTGGTATGGAGGTGGCTGCATGTGAGAGCGGGGAACGCCTTCGAGTTGTGAGACCAGGGAGATGTGGTAAGTTTTATTGGTGTATCCAATCATCTTGCCCAAGAACGCAACGCATTGTCCCGGCCAGGTCTCGAACCCAGGCCGCTGGACGCGGAGTCCAGTCCACTGACCTGGAGGCCACTGCGCCTCCCAGATTTTTTCCTGTTGACATAAATTGATTTTTATGTTATTTGAACTGTTTGGGGCTTGTAGATGCTTTTGTCTCCGAATTGAAACCCCACATCTGTCCCGCTCCTTGGAAAGGTCTGAATAGAATTTGCGACCGAAGAGGAGATTCGTGTACGAAAAACGAGGACTGCAGGGAGGTTGGAGGAAAGTGCTGTTTTAATGGCTGCCAAAAAGACTGCGTTCAATTTGGTAGGTCTATGCAGATGTCATTTAGTTTTCTCTGTGAAAAGTGTTTTTCCAGAATGTTGATACGATTGTTAAAATTGTACCACAAGGACAGTGCCAGTTGCAGCTGGCGAAAGATCCTGACAATAACGTCATGTGCGAACATCTTTTCAGCTATAGAATGAAATTCCAAGTATTTCAGAACTTAGGTTACTTTGCCATTTAATCATTCTTGGTTATTAAGATGTATGAGGAGAAACGAGTTCGGCTGCAGGTGAAGTTGAAACTTTCACTGAAACTAAACTTTTTTTCCAGAGGAAAGAATAATGGAACAAGGTTCAACTGACGTTTTGGTTAAAACTTTAAAATGGCAATTTCACTAACCCTAAAATCTACATAGCTGTTGTCGTCTTAATGAAAACAACAAACATTTATTTTATGTGTCCTTTGTATGAAGTTCGTGATCTTGACTGCCCTGACACGTGTCATGAGAATGCTCAGTGCATAGAACTGGTTCTTGGGGGCCGTAAGTGTGTTTGCAATCCAGGATACGAGGGAGACGGCATCGATTGTTCAGGTGAATTACGCTTAATTTGAAGTTATTTTATGTTCAGGGTCTTAAGGTATAGGGGGACATGATGGAAAATTTGAAGATGTACTAATATAAGAAATGGTATGTGAGCAATAGGCAAGTATGCAAAAAGTCAGTTCTTGACAATTTGCCAGTGCAGACTTACAGGTGTTGCATTGCCATTGTTTAAGGAGTTTTAAGAATTTCTTCAACGCAAAATCTCACGCGTCCACGGTAGAGTAGTGTATTGTTCGAACAGAACAAGGGTGTATTCCAAGTCTGGCAACGTGAACTTAGCCAGCGTTTTTTTATTTTAAAGCAGAAAGCTTAAACCCTTCAACTCTTGTGAGTGACCAAGGCAGAATTTCTCCTTACAATATCAATACAATATCAAGCAGTAAAATGATGAGAATAAAGAAAAATATCAATTATAGGATTAGTAGCTGATTCAATAGCAAATTCTCCGAGTCGAAATCATAAGAAGGATACGGCATTGTCCCAGAGCTGTGACATCCTGGTTTCTTTGGCTTCGGGCAAGCAGGACCAAAAACCACATTTCAATAATCTGGCCAGGAATCAAACCGATATCTCTACAGTCCACTAGTTACTTTTTTACTTCCTTTTCCAGGGGGAAGGACCCAGATTAACACTGAGTGAAATGTGTAATATGCTGAAATGATATTTTGGCGCGTGCTTTATGTTCAACAGCTGATCCATGTAGTGTCAAGAGATGCGAGCATTATGCAACTTGTGTGGAGGATGGCGGCATGGGAAAATGTGTCTGTCCACAAGTTTGTCCTCGGAATTTCTTGCCTGTTTGTGGCTCAGATGGAAAGATATATGACAATATCTGTCTTCTGGAAGTTGCGTCATGCAGTCAACAGAAAAAGATCACCATCGCCAGTAAAGACAGTTGTAGTAAGTCTTCAAGTGAATCCTACACAACTCGTTTGTTGAAAAAATAGTATTCTCTAGAACTTGGGTTGCATTGCGGAGAATTAACTTCATTTTCCCTCCGTTGCCTTAAGCATCATCGGTCTTAAAGAGAACCTCCACCCGTTTAACAAATAGTGCTCAGAATGTTCCAAACGTACTTCACAATAGATCTGGAATAAAAAAAATTTCTTTACCAAGCGATCTGACTTTTTATCGTTGTCCAAAAAAAAACATCGTGGGCGCTATTTTTCAAAGAATGGAGTTTCCCTCCAAGTACTGGGTGGCATTCTGACGGTGCAAACCAGCCTGTTGAACCCTTTTGACCCCGCCCCCCGTAGCAAATGGAATAATTAACACTCGCCTCTTAGCGCTTGATTAGCTGCAGTGACATCAGACACTTAGACATCTGCTGTGCAAGAAGTGAAGTGATACCCTTCCGTTGCCAGATTTCTCATAGAAAAATAACTGAGTTAGAGACAGATACCACAGTAGGATGGGCTTCCCTTGTCATAACTTCATCTCATCTTCCATTCTTATTTATTTATATATTTATTTATTTATTTATTTCTTCATAGAACCAGACCCGTGTGAGAAATCCAATTGTAGTCATCCACTACATCACTGTCTCAAATCACCTCGAGGTGCTGCATGTGTTTGTCTGCCATTTTTGTGCACAATGGAGTATATCCCCGTGTGTGGGTCAGATGGCCAAACTTATTCTAACGAGTGTGTTCTAAGGTCAGCGGCGTGCGAGAGAAGTCAGACAATAGCAGTGGCTAGTCAAGGAGAATGCAAGAAAGAAAACAAAAGTGAGTAATGTGTCGTGTTTTAAAGTTATGTATCTGTTGGTTGCTTGTGCCGCTACTGTTATGAGAACGGCAGATCACACATGATTGGCGGTTGGTTAAGGCCTCATCAGTCAAAAGAGGTTACGCGGTTAACCTTGATGTCAGCAGGCGAAAATCGGTAGGTACACTGTAGATGGAAAGGAGTAAATGAAACAAGTGATGAACCTCCAGAAGGAAATTTTCTCTAAAACATAAAAGTACAGTTTTCTTGGGTGGCAGTCTACCAAAACAACAGAACATTGAGAAAGTTTGAATTAAGGATTTTCATGATTTTCTTTACCTATCATACCTCACAGACTGATGTGAGAACAAAAGATTATTTCGTTAGAGCTTTATTCTTTGTTTTCTGTAAGAGCTGTGCTTAATCTTAAAGGCGAAGTTAACAGTGACGAGTACGATGATTGCAGTGATGATGATGATGACAATCGTGATGGTGAAGATATACTTTTATTATTTATAAAACCAAAAAACCAACTCTTTTAATAACATAACCAAAGTAAAGCGCGCGCTCTGATTGGTCAAATTAGCGTCCCCCATTTGCCCATGGGTGTATGCTGCTGACGTGAGCAAATGCAAAGACTATTTTTTCGCGCGCGCTTGTTTTTTCTGGTCGCGTAAGATATGTTAAATAAAAGGGAGCTCTTTAGCTACGATGTATCAATATGTTATGTTAAAAAACAAATGATAAACACCACAGCGTACGCTATTGAGTTATGGATGCACTTGGGAGGTTTACTAAGCACTCAAGAAGCTAGAGTCGCTCTCGGCTATCGCCTCGAGCGACTCTTACGCTTCTTTCGTGCTTAGCAACCTCCCGCGTACATCCATAACTCAATAGTGTACGCTGTGGTGTTTACCATTTGTTAATTATTGGTCATGTCTCACTTACATCATCGTTCACTCGTCACCTCTTGGTTCCTTTTTTCCACAGACCCTTGCAGTGCACCTGATCTTTGTACCCATCCTTACCATCAGTGTCACGTGGTGGGTGGCAAGGCTTTATGCATTTGTCCAATGGTGATCCCAACAAACCTGGCACCAGTGTGTGGCTCTGATGGACAGACATACCCCAACCCCAGCGCTCTTGAGAGTATGAGCTGCTTAGCTAATAGAATTGTTGAGGCGGAATATTCTGGTGAATGTCACGGTGAGTAGGAACAATTGGTGATTTATAATCGATGACTGAAACTGTAAATGAGTCGCATGGGAGGTGACTGACAATTGTGTAGCTTAGTCCCCCTGTGAGATTTGTCCTCGAAAAAAGACTGTTTTCTGTGAGAGTGATTTCGATTTGCTCAAAAACCAGAGATCAAGTCATCATCCCATCCGAGTGAAAACTTTTCCTTAATAGGGTGGAGGTCGGCTAAAGTCACCGCTTGTAGCAGCTACATTTCTCACATGGAATAAACAGTTTGTTGTTTTAGTCAGACAATCTAGTAAACTGGGTTTTAAATGTTAGAGCGATTGTCTGGCACAAGAAGATTTTTTTTTGCCATGATATGTGATCATTTTAGAAAGATCCAACAAGGATTAGTTAAAACCATTGTTCAGTCAGAAAACCTTTGATACACAGTGATGTTTCCTATCAGGATACTCTGTTGCAATATTTAGTAGCGTTGTTTATTATCGTGGCTTTGTTGTGTTCTAGCCACGTGGGATCCGTGTGACATTTCACTATGCAGTCATCATCGTCATTATTGTAAAGTGGTAGACGGTAAGGCCGTCTGTGTTTGCTCTCAAGTCTGTTCACTCATCCTGAGGCCAGTTTGTGGTTCAGATGGTAAATCATACCCAAACAACTGCACCTTGGAGGTTGAGGCCTGTATGACTGGAAAAGACCTGACTTACGTATCAGAGGGAGAATGTGGTGAGTGGTTTCTTTTGGAAATCTGTGGAATAATGGTGTCTCCAAAAGAGGTGACAGGGGATTTTAAAACATGGGCATTATTACGTACGGTCCCCATATGGAAATGTATATGAAGTGCTTTTCAATAAAACTACGTTGGGCCGTACTGTTCGTATCGTGAATGTATCACCAATCACGTAGCTCCTTTTTCTGCCTTTAAAAGCACACACAACCCACAATTCCCCTATTCGCTCCGACGAAGGGCTAACACTCGAAACGTCAGCTTTTATAATCGTAACGGTGGCCAATTTACCATTTCAACTTTGTTGATATATTCAAAATGTTCGTATCATGATAAAGTTCTCCTTCGATCTAGAGGGGGCCCGATCCCCCAGATAGTGTCGAACTTCAACTGCAAAGTGAAGGGCAGGCAGACACTAACACAGCCAGTTAGAGGAAAACATTGAGCATCCCAAGACTTTTACCATCATTGTGTGATTGTCTTTCTTGTTTGCGCTGCTAATAACCATATCCTTTTTTTTTTTTTTTGCATTCGTTTGTTTCGTGTTGGATAACAGATCCATGTTCACGTATGGTGTGCACTGATCCCAGAAAGCATTGCAAAGTTGTGCAAGGTGCAGCAACCTGCGAGTGTAATGAAATCTGTACACTTGACTATAACCCAGTTTGTGGTTCAGATGGTAAAACATACCCCAACCAGTGTAGTCTAGAGGTGGAGGCATGCAAAACTGGTAAAATCTTGATCATGGTGAAACCAGGAGAATGTGGTATGTGTTGTGATACTTTTAATGTTAAATAAGAAGAAACTCTATCTTATGGTTTACTTGCAGTGTAGAGTCAAACGCTGCTTGGTATAAATGATAAGCTATAGTAAAAAAAGTGCCTGGAGAAATACTTGCGCGTTCACTCTGGTTATTTAGCTCTGGTTATTTCACAGATGAAATGCCACTCGCTTTGCCTGGCAAATACCCGAAACCCATTCATGACCCCCATTTCAGTCACCTGTAAGCGCTGATTAAATTAATTGAAGGAAAAAAAAGGAAAGTTTGGTTCGGGGAACGCTTGGAAGCATCTGGGAGAGAAGGTCTTTCGACGACTAAAGCCCTAGTCAAACGGCGCATGATAGTCGATGATAGTTGAAGCGCGCGCTTCTGTTTGACCACCAGCTATCATGCGCTATCATCGACTATCACCAATTAGTATATATTAAAACAGTGGATAGCGTTGAAGGCACGCTCTGATTGGCTAGTCGAACTCCGAATATCCTTTGCTATTTACCTAGGAGCAACTCGGGAAAAATGGCGTCCCGGTTTGCATCCGTGACAAGCGAAGAAATCACTCAAATTAACGACGGTGGTGTATATTATCTCACTGTTTTAGTATATACTAAAACAACTATTCACCTCAGTGTCGGTGCTTAGCGATGATAGTTTTTTGTTAGCCGTTTTCCCCGAAAATCGGCGGGCTCGTTTAAAATGGTCGCCAAAAGCTCCTCGCGAGGCTCAGCTTTAGCTTCAGAAATTCGTTTTATATCCAAGATAATAGTAATGAGAAAGAAAATATTGAAAACCAAGAATCTGGAGAAAGCGTTAACTCGCAGGAATTCGAAGAGACACCGCCGAAAAAAAACAGCGTTTCACTAAACGTTCAACGGCGAGATGGAGTAATGACCTGATAGTACGTCTAATAGACGTACAGTACTCCAACAAATCGATTACTAGTAAGCAAGCTGCCGCCCTCGTTCGTCGTAAATTCACACTTCAACAAGTTTGTTTGTCTCACGCGAAGCCATGTTAGTGTTCACATTTTACGCGGAAAGAGCCTGGAACTAGCTGCTCGCGCGACTGCCGGTGAACTATCATCGACTATCACGAAATTGTTTGGCCGTTAGACCATACGAATGATAGTTGGTGATAGTTGATGATAGTTTGAAGAGAATCAACTATCATCGACTATCATGCGCCGTTTGACCAAGGCTTAAGCAACCGCCGCTGCTGAAGTAATCAAAATCTTAAATATGCCCTCTGACCAGAAGAGCCTGCCGAGCTCTCAGCGGTTAAGTTCATCAAATTTTCATTTAACTGAGTAAGGTCGTTCAGAGACTAATTAAACAGAGTGCATGCTTCTAAGAACAGCAACAAGAACCTTGTACAGTATTTCTTCTATCTGAGTACTCAGTGGTTAAGTTCATCAAATTTTCATTTAACTGAGTAAGGTCGTTCAGAGACTAATTAAACAGAGTGCATGCTTCTAAGAACAGCAACAAGAACCTTGTACAGTATTTCTTCTATCTGAGTACTCAGTGGTTAAGTTCATCAAATTTTCATTTAACTGAGTAAGGTCGTTCAGAGACTAATTAAACAGAGTGCATGCTTCTAAGAACAGCAACAAGAACCTTGTACAGTATTTCTTCTATCTGAGTACTCAGTGGTTAAGTTCATCAAATTTTCATTTAACTGAGTAAGGTCGTTCAGAGACTAATTAAACAGAGTGCATGCTTCTAAGAACAGCAACAAGAACCTTGTACGCTATTTTTCCAATATCCTTTCTACTTAAAAATGTGTTGAGTATTGTAAAGAAAAAATCCTTCACAGTCTCTCGCTACAGGTTTACATTTAGTTGATAGAGCTGGTTCTGTTATTTTATTTTATTTTTTTTTTTAAATTTTGAATTGGACTTTTTTTAGAGCCCCAGTGTCCCATTTTGGACCCAACTCCTCTTTGCGTTTTGAAAAACGAATCTTGCTACACGGGAAACGTGACTTGCCCCGCTGGACTGAAATGTTGTCTTGATAATGACTGCAGTCACAAGTGTACTGAGCCCGCGCTTGACGACGGTAAGTGGTTTACTTGACAAAGACTGTTCGTCAGAAGCCTGGGGTAAAATTAAGTTGAGTCCTTGAGCTTCTACACCCTACCATCAGTACGCATATACTCCATACAGTCCCTCTTTGTATTTCTCGAGGTGCTGAGAGGGAGAGTTTGTTGAACAATCAAGAGCTCCTCCAGTTTGTTATCATTGCGTCACTCTCGTGACCTGTATGTGTGGTTCAATGGTGGTGCTGTGAAGAGAAATTAGATGTCAATCGCTATTTGAGATTAAAGGGATAAAACAGCCTTAAAATCTATGTTCTTGCTTCTTGAGCCTCTTTTTCAACTATTGGGCAAAGATAAGGGAACACGATTTCGTCTTCTCTTCAGAAAGACTAGTTTACAATTTTTAATATGTACCGTCTTTCATCGGGTTGAAGCTTATAAGTACTTTGTTATTAATGTGATACAGAGATTGTGATTGAGTTTTTGCAAAACTTGGCAAACTTATTTAGAAACCCTTGTGTGTTGTTTCAGCTGTTCTACCTTTGCCTCGCGCTTACAGCCACTGAATAACGTCTTTCTTTATTTAACACCCTCTTCTTTGTGTTCTGTTGTTTCACCGAACATGCGCAATGTTACCGGCTACCCTTCGACGATTATTGGGACGACAATAAATTGGAAATGCGCGCTAAGAAACTCGGGAAATTGCCCTAGTGTCTCCTGTGGCTTAGCGTTAGCTACAAGCAATGCATCGTAAACCAGAAAAAACTGGAATTAGAGCTCCTTTGTTTGTTAAAACAGAAGTTTTTCTTATTTACATTATGCTACTTACTTCAGAACTGAGCCTAGTTTTGTTTTCTCTGTTCTAGGGACACGACCTGGAGAGTGTCCTGTAATTAACCCAACACCTCTATGTGCGAAAGTAACCGGTTGCCAGTCAGACAAAGTATGTCCTCTGGGCACTAGATGTTGTCTGCAGAAGGGATGCACACAGAAATGTGTTAGGGTTGAGATACCTCCGCCTCCGCCACCGTGTGAGTGAATTATGAACAAGCTATATCTCTGATCGTCTTGTTCGGGTTTAAGTGTTGTCTTTGTTTTTGTTAGAAACCTTTTTCACGCGCATACTTAAGCTTAGTCCTATCCAATGAAAAAAGGGCGAATTAGCAGCTGTTGTGTCTACGTTCATATCCGTTAGTGTCGTGGTCGGTTTTTTTTTTTTTGTGTGCACATGCGTTACTGTAGCAGAATGAACCTTTTAAGTACTGAATTTTCTGTTTGTGTGGTTCTGCTTCAATGCTTAGTTATAAATCTGACTCCGCTTTGTCATCGTTTATATTCCCAAGCTTGCAAAAGTATCTTATAATATGGAATCTTCTTGCAGTGTTATTACAGTGTCCACTGCTTAATCCGTCCCCGTCCTGTGGACTGCCTCCAGATGCCCCACCCAACTGCTTCACAGGAGGAGCAAAGTGTCCCACGGGACAGGTCTGCTGTCTGGACAACGACTGTTACCACAAGTGCGTCACTCCTGCTAGGGCTGATGGTGAGTTTTATTGCATTAAAGAATCCTGGATTTCGGCATTTTTCAATTGATCACACAGCCGACCTAAGCTTTGACGGCTCAACTCTCTTACTACCAGAAGCATTACGAAAAGGGAATCTTTTATTCCCGGTCATTTTTTAGTTCATGTAGTCTTTGATTTAATTTCGTAATTTTTTTTTTTTTTCTTTTACGATCCATTTTAGTTCTGGAGTCTCTTTTACTGCCAGGGCCTGGTGATTTTGTTTAAGAGAACGCGGCATTTTTACGGTTCTTTTTCCTGTCCAAAAACAGTCGATCGGTGTGAATATTGAAAGAGCCCCAAACATATCATAATAACTCAGACCTATTTCAATATTCCTACACGTGGCAATTTTGTTAATTTCCCCTTAAACCGCCTCTCTGGGTCTGACCTATATCTCAAACCTCACATTAAAATCAACCCACAGGTCAACGTTTGTCTGTCTATCCGACTTGATGTCACTCTTTTTTTCCCTTTGTAAGCCTTAGGGAATCATTGCGGATACTTAAAAGAATACATCTCCATGCTTGGGTTTGAATAATTTTTTTTCTCAGGTACACGACCAGGCACGTGTCCAGTACCAAACCCTATACCGACATGCGGATCAACACCAGGTTGTGAGTCCGACGATGGTTGTGCATTGGGTGAGAGATGCTGTCTCCAGCGGAACTGTACAAAGAAATGTGTCAAGACCTTGCCTCCTCTCTCGGAAAGTGGCCATGAAAGTGAGTACAAACAACAAAGGGCATTAGAAATAAAGAGATACCTTATCACAGAGCCTGGTTTTTTGTGTTTGCTGACGTTTCGACAAGGATACTGTCGCACTTGCCTAAGAAAGCAAACATCAGATTGTTAACTCAACTCTTTTCTTTTAAGACAAATAAATGAAGGGGGTTAGTTTCGAAAGAAACTGTGGTGTTGCTTCGGTGGGGGAGTATAACAAGATGGTTTGGTTTTATTAACTGAGGTGCACGAATCACCAAGTAAACGCAGAGGAAACAAAATGTCTGCAATTGTAGCTGATTGCTACGTGGAATGTGTTAAAGGGAATTTTAGCACGAATTAAATTGCGCCTTGTTATCAAGATGGCCGTGAAGAAAAATGAAATGTTTTTCTCTTCTGCGATCGTGATCCCAATTCACTTGAAACTTCTTCTTGAATATTAGTACGCTATCCAGTAATAAGATGATGGAAACTTATCTTGTTATGTTGATACAACACTAGATTCTCTAGACTGATTCATATTCATGACAGCTAGAGGGGAAGAATTATAACCAGATCTTCAGAGCTAAAAAGCGTAGAGAATTACGACTGTGAAATTTGTTTTTTCTTTTATCATTTTCCTCGCTTTTTCTTCGAAGACCGTCCCTCCACGTCCCAGACTAACTACCTTTGTCGCGATTTCAGCTTGTCAACCCCCATGTCATCCCTATGGTTTCTGCGTGAAGAACAAATGCACGTGCCTAAGACTGTGTACACGTGAATATGCGCCCGTGTGTGGCACAGACGGGAAAACGTACAGCACTGAATGTGTTTTGAAGAGTATGGTGTGTGAACAGGGAACAAAGGTCACTGTCAAGCATCGTGGGGAATGCGGCAGCCGAAAGGGTAGGAGAGTTGGACTTAGTCCTGCCTCTGCCACTTGTGGGCTTGTTGTAGCATTGATATGTATTTTAAATGTGCTGCACTGATGCTTGTCTTTTTCGCAGTCCATGTTTGGTGTTGTCCGTGCGTTCTCCTTGTCACACAACAGTCTTGGCTTCCACGAGAACGAGTGTTGTGGAGTTACAAGTCCAAGCAACGGCTGTGAAGGACGCTACAATGATGTGTGATGCGCTAATTTTCCGTCCAAACATGGACGCACACACAAAATAGTTCGAACGCAGCAAAATTTTTCTTAAATTTTTTAATACTGCTGTAGTAGTGTATGGATTATAACTTTAAAAGACTTTGCACACCAGAAGTAAGAATTTCAACCGCTTTCTGGGATAGGGTTAGATCTACATAGCTTACAGAAAAAAATACACTATTCTCATCGACTGAAGAAGATAATTATTGTATTTATTTTCCAGATGATTTACTTTGTGTACCACCCTGTCATCCATTTGGAAAGTGTGTGAGAAACCAGGAGACTGGTCAAAACGAATGCACATGTGACAGAGTATGTACACGAGAGTACGCCCCGGTGTGCGGGACAGATGGTAAAACATACAGTACCGAGTGTATGTTGATGTACTCAGTATGTAAGGACGCCAGTAGTGTAGTTATGAAGCATCCAGGAAAATGCAGACAAGGTAAGTGTCTTGCTGATTTGTTAAAATGGTGCTGTGGTAATGGTGAAGTGAAACTAAAGTAATAAGACGTGAAACAGTGGAAAATCGAGAGGACGGGCGATCGTTCGTAACGGGGTAAATTTCTAAAAATACTGTGGTGCTGCGTGGATGGGGGGGGGGAGTATAATAACAGGATGATTTGGTTCTGTCAACTGGGTCGATGATGTGAATTAGCCACCGTAAAGATTAAAGTCCCTATTCACCCTCAGAGGTTTATATAAATTTCGATTCTTTGCGTTATCAGGATTAATCTCCAAAAAAATTTTTTTTGGATTGATTAAATATTTCCCGACATATGCCGCCTCAAAGTTCGTCCTTAAGAGTTTTTAAAGCTGGATGTAAGAAAATTGAGCATATGACATGCTAGCAAAGTGGCATTGCATAACCGGACGGCTTTGCCGACTGTATGAGCACCCAGGTGTTAAATTTTCTTGTTGCTGTAGCTGTCTGCCTTTATTGTTGCCAGAAATGCTTTCATTTGACACGTTCAGTGATCTTAGCGTTAGTGCAATGAGAGCGTATGGCTAGGTGTGGGAACATTTGTTTACTTCAAACAAACAGTCTAAGCAACTGTCCCGGAGATCGTAGGTAAAATAAATCAAGATGCAGAAACAAGCTTGTGTTCCAGCTCGTGAATGCTGTTAAAAAAAAGTTTGACTTTTCCATCAGCTGCTTCATATTATTTCCTTTTACTTTCTTACCAAGACACACCCGAAGACAGCTGTCCCGTTTTGAATCCAACACCCCTTTGTAGTGACCCCATACCAGGCTGCTCCAAAGATTCCGAATGCGCAGACGGGGAGAAATGTTGCTTGCGAGGAGACTGTACCAGGAGATGTTATGCACCGGCCAAACCAGGGCGTTGCCCTAAAACTTATCCCAAGCCGTGCCCCCTGATCCGTGGATCTCCAGAGTGTACTACAGATTGGGACTGTAGCGGCGACCTCAAATGTTGCTTTGATGGCTGTAGCACGAAGTGTACGTCTTCGTTTGAGAAGCCACGAGATGGTAATCTAGTTTTTGCTTGGTCGTTCCTTCATTTGTTTGCTAATTTGCTTTCTTCGTTCGTTTTATTTTTTTTAGCTCCAGTTGCTGCGGCTAAATTTGGTTTTCCACTGGTTTAGATATTTATGGAACTTTTCAACCGATTTTACCTTTTTCTCGTGCGTTCAATAGTTCGTCGTTTGTCTTTTTGTTTCCTAGCTTTTTCCGGTATATTAAAAATAATACCAAATTGACAGCAAAGTTACAACGCACCTAGAATTTTGGACGCTGGTTTTCAGTATTTGAAGTTTTCAAAGATTTTACTGCAGTGTGAGAACAAATTCAGATGTTTGCAGTGATTGAGAGTCGGAGCGATTATCACGTCATTGTTCAAAACAATGCAGAATTACTCTCGTTATGTGTCAAAATATGAGTGATTGTTTTAGTTAAAATAAAACTATTTGTGAATCTTAAACTATTTGTGAATCTAAAACTATTTGTGAATCTAAAACCTTTTGTAAGGTCACACTTAAAGATTCAAACCCATACCACTGTCAATTACTTTGTTACTTAATCAAGGAACCTCTTTTTCCGCATCCCCAGAGAACCCTTGTGAAGTTACACTATGTAGCTTCCCCGCCACAGTGTGTAAAGTTGTCAAGGGAAAGCCCACTTGTCAGTGCCGACAGACATGGCCCCTCCACCACATTGATCCAGTGTGTGCATCAGATGGGCGGACCTATGACAACATGTGTCAGCTGGAGGTGAATGCTTGTCTTCTTGAAGCTGGTGGAATGCCGCCTGGGCAACTTACGTACATCGGAAATGGAGAATGTAAAGGTGAGATCTGCTGTTAAATATCAATCGAAGTTAACCCGCAAAGGTATGCTCTTAGAAGAATATTTGGGGCCTTGAAGGCTCTTGTCGTAGAAATAATGGATTCCAAGTTCAAAATAGACTCTAGAGCAGGCGTAATTTAGGCCATCCTCAGAGACCCAGGGGCTGTGAGTCGATTTGTCCCCACAGACCTAAATGTTAGATATCTACGGATTGACAAGGTGGGAACCACCTTGAGGAGCACAATAAATTGCAGGATATTGCCACTTAGCTTTCATTTAAATGGTCAGACATGCAAACCTTGTAATAGAACCGTTTATACATGAACATTAGAAGTCTGTTGAATACCTTCATTTGAGTAGTTAGTTGAGGAGCTAGCCAACGCAGACAATTCAAACATTTCAATCGAAATATCGTTTCCATTTCTCTCACAGCTGCTCAGATTTGCAGTTTACCAGTAGAGACGGGTCGCTGCTTCGCTGCCATGAAACGATTCTTCTTCAATTCCACCTCCCGACGGTGTGAGGAATTCATATTTGGTGGATGTGAAGGAAATACAAACAGATTTGACACCGAAAAAGATTGTTACGACTTCTGTGGATGTAAGTGATGTTTTGCATTGTCCCTGATTGTGAGCACAGGTCACATAATGCGCCTGAGTTTATCCCGGTAATTCCAAATGAATGGAATAAATCGTATGTTTCCGAAAGATGTACAAATAATGAAATGATCCTCGCACGGAAACTTCTATCAAAGAAATTGGTGATAAAGCAGCCCGAAAAAATTGTTCGTCTGCGAGTGACTCATCATAGTCATAAGTGCGCCCGCGAATAAGTAAGTTTGAGGCCTTGTGCAATACGATTTGGCGAGAGTTTAGCTCTGATAATTAGTGCCAGACCCCAAGCAAGCCTCTCCTTGACTCGTCTCGAATCTCCTTTCGGGCGGAGAAACGCGCGTCCTTCAGCGCTAACGATGAAGGCCTTGGTCACAGGTTCAAATTCTGATGTCGAGCCCAGTGCCTCCCAGGTATGAAGCAACATCGTGGGAGGTAATTACAAATTATAGTCAGTTCTTTCGTCCCGTAATAGAATCCGCTATCATTGGTCGAAATGAATCACGTATTGATCTGCGGATTATATAGAAGTAAAAGAATGAAAGGAATACCAATCCATTGCATGTTCACTTCAGTCTTTTCATCTGGTTTCCCTGACCCCTCGCTGGTTCGTGAATAAATTTTGAGCGGAGAGAGGCATGGCCAAGCAGGACACGAACGCAGACCCCCACTGCGCTGAGCACTAACCCACTCGTCTAGCGTTCATTACATCAAATGTCCAATGGAAGGTTACCCATCTTATGTTTACAATTTTCAGCCTTGGACACGTGTGAGCTGAGGCCTTGTCCGGATCCGTACGCCATTTGTAGCATTACTAAATCAGGAGAGCGACAGTGCGCTTGCCCTGAAATCTGCACGTCGATCGAAAGGCCTGTGTGTGGTACAGACGGTCAGACGTATGGTAATGAGTGTCAAATGAAGGTTGAAGCCTGTAAACAAGGAATGATGATCAAGATCAAGGCTCCTGGAAGATGCAACAGTAAGTAAATTGTAGAAGACTTTTGGTCCTAAAGACTCCTTGCTAACCGAGTTTGATGTCCCGCACTGTAGGTATATGACTGAGTTTCGCGCATAGGCCGTAAATCGAAGGTGGATGGCGGGGGACGAGAATCCACACCTAACCCTAATCCACGAAAGGAAAAACACCGACTCATTCAAACGGCCCAGCCTACCACAGGTCTCCTCTAACTCAGTGGTAGAGCATCCGGAGTACCAATCGTTAGTTGGTTGGTTCGACTCCTATAGTCAGCTCTCGGAGTGTTTTTTTTTCTCCGATTATTCCCGTGTCATTCACTGAATAACATCATCCTTCTCGAAAAAATACTTAGTTGAACAGTACAAACCTCAAACATTATCATTAAAGATTATAAATATTTATTTTATTTTGTCCCTAAAGCCAATCCAGGTTTTTGCCCCATTGTGGACCCGCAGATCTGTCCGAGTGAACAAGAAGATTCCTGCTTTGATGATGCCAGCTGTAGGAATAATGAAAAATGCTGTCACGATGGCTGTAGAAAGCTCTGTGTGACGCCTTTACCCAAACCTAATCAAGGTCCACCGCGATTGATCAAACAACGTAAGTGTGATATGTGAAACAAGTCGATAGCTTAGCCATGTGATCCCATAGGGTGGTCAGCACTGTCTAATTTCTCTTCACACCACTCCCCCCCCCCCCCCAAATCAAACATTAGGGTTGCGCGAATAAAGGAAATTATCAACAACTTATGAAGCTTTTGATTGTTAGGCAAATTCTCCTTGTCCTTTTTAGAGAACAGTGTGGAGAACTTGCTTACTGATGTTATGGTGCAAAGGGTAAATCACAGGATTAAGATTCCCTTCAGCATCTGCTATCAATTCTTGGTCTGTACCCTCTGGTCTCAAATGTCGAAACAAGGACATTCCAGTTGTCGCACTGCAGTTAAAGCGCACGACAGGAAGTCACACTCTTTTAGTCTCCATCCTCATCTCAAAATTGTCTTTTATCACTTGCTATTCTTCTCTGAATCCAATCAAAGGTTCTAATGTGATGTACTGATTGAAATATCTCGTATGCACAGAAATCACACCACTTGATTTTGGTAAGAAGCCTACACCAGAAGATTCTTGTAGAAAATGTAAGTTTCCCCAGAGTGCCTGTTCAGTGAATGAGCAAGGAGAAGCGGACTGCCGCTGTCCTGAAGCGTGCACAGCAGTTTTCGCACCTGTCTGTGGCTCAGATGGTCGTAATTACACGAACAAATGTCAGTTAGAAGTTGAAGCTTGTAAACCAGAGAACGTCGGCTCCTTGACACTCAGACATGTTGGACCTTGTGGTAAGATTTAAAGTGTAATAGATTAATGATGATGATTTGAATTGACATCTATCCCTGGGCTACGATGAAACTTAACATTTTTCTCTTTACAACGTAACCTGACAAGTTTTACGAGAGTGGTACGTTAGTTAAATTTCTTTTATATGTAGAGTGTCTCTAGAATGGCAGTTGTTAGATAAATGTCTAATGATCATACATGCACATCGATGACCAAAAACAAAAGTAGTTAGGAGGAAAGAGAGAGAGAGAGAGAGAGAGAGAGAGAGAGAGAGAGAGAGGGAGAGGGGGAGAGAGAGAGAGAGAGGGAGAGGGAGAAGTGTACAGAATTTCATCACAGACCTTAAAATTGTCAGAGATGATTATCAGATAAAACACGGGGTTTAATCCACATAATTACCGACTGAAGTGTAAGGTATTTTACTTATCACAGACCTGAAACATAATCGGAGTTCTGTTTGGTACAACTACGAATAACGCACGTTTTACTAGAATGAATAAATACATTTTCACGAGAGGTGGTTCGTGGTCGACTGTTTCCTTGTCGATTTGGAATTTTGCTAAGCCGGGAGGAAAACCGGAGGACTGGGGGCAGTCTGGGAATTTAACTTGAGCCCCAGTGGTGGGAAGTAAGTGCTCTTGGCAAAGCAACATTTCTTTCCACCAACATGGATACTTTACTGAGTAATTTTCCATTTCGTTTTTCGTTCCCAGTGTGTGATCTTCCTCTTGCTGGTGGACCCTGTTTTGGTTACTTTCCACGCTTTTTCTTCAATTCCACCACTAAGCGATGCGAGAGGTTCGTTTATGGTGGCTGCCAAGGAAACGGAAACAACTTCCTGACTATCGAGGCCTGCGAAAACAAGTGTATCAGTAAGTAATGCTTAATAGTATTCGTTAAACGCACTTACATTCCTGAGAGCAGAGAGGCAATGGTCGATTGAAGTGTCTTGCTTAGCAGTACATGACACTGACTAGGCCATCCCTCTCACCCTCTCGCTGACACCTGGGCCTCTAAGCCTCACAAGAAAAAGACTGATTTCTAAGAAAGGGCGACTTCTAATTACGACGTAACTTCTGGTATAAATGAATAGAGTTAATCAAGATGAATTTGTCACAAGGTGAACTGTAAAATTCTCTTCGTTAACATCACAGATCCGTGCAAGAATTACGAGTGTCCATTCCCACGCACAAGATGTGAAGTAGAACACGGAGGGGCTGTGTGTAAATGTCCTACCATCTGTACTGCAGACTACCGCCCGGTGTGTGGAACAGACGGCAAGACCTAGGGCAACAAGTGTGGGCTGGAGGCCACAGCTTGCATAACAAGGCACTTTAAACTGGGGGTCAAACATCTGGGAGAATGTAAGTTTGTGGAACAAGCGTTGATACTTGCTTTAACTTAAACGCCCTTGCTTAAAGTGATACCTAAAGTGCTTTGAGCATTTTTGTTTTGGGCTCCGGACGGCGTGATTGATTGTCATTTCTCGATTGATAATTCATACTGGTGAGAAATTGGATAGGGGCGTCCAATGAAATCATGGTAATAATTCGTTACTTCAGGTGTTGCCCGATCGTAGGGAGAACATCGTAAGGAGAATAATTTACTCTCCCCAGTAACACCCAATTGCAGACGGACTTTAAGTATTACCTGTTCACGTACATTGTATACAGGCTGTTGTCGCCCATAATTCAAGAACTGTTTTATCAGCCCAATTTAGTTGCTCCGTTGTTCGGGTCGTTTATGAAATCTGTAGCAGATAACTTTTCAAAACCAGGGATAAGTATGAACACTCACAAAGACCGAATGATCATGTTTTGTCTTTATTCCTCTCTGCAATAGGCTTAAGTCCAAATCCTTGTAACGGGTTCGTCTGCAAACACAAGCGTCACAGATGTGTAGTAAAAGACAACAAACCTTTCTGTGAGTGCGACAAAGCCTGCACCCGAGAGTACGACCCTTACTGTGCCTCTGGTGGCGTTACTTACTCCAACAAATGTGTCCTGGAGACGTCCGAGTGTGAAAGTGGTAAAAACTTGGACATTTTACACCCAGGAGAATGTAAAGGTTGGTAATGGCTTGAATCATCTTTTATTTGTTTGGTAGTTCTGGCGGTGGATAGAAATGTCGAATAGCCGTGGATGGTCAGATTTATTTCATCGTGGTAGGGAGAAGAGGGACTGCAGTGGACTAGCAAACCACTAAGAGGGTATGGAAATACTCCCAGTCACTTCACTTTGGAGGAACTGGGATAAGCCCCAGCTGGATGAGCCACTCAGCGCGAATGCGGAGTTAAAAACCTTTTGGGCAGTCATTATGTAACCCTTTCACTCTCAAGATCTCACATCTAAATTCTCTTTACTGTTTGCCATACTGTTCTTGTGATATTAATGCGGAGAAATTGGTATCGGATCAACTAATATTCCCGTAATTGATATTTTTCTCTATTCTCATCACTTGTCTGCGTGATATTACATTGATATTGTAAGGAGAAATTCTGTGTTGGTCACTTGGCTAGAGCGCCGGATTGTGTTGAGCGGGAGGTCGAGGGTTCGAGCCCCGGACCAACACTCAAGGTCTTAAAAAATAATTGAGAAGAATATGCCACCTTTCTATAACATCAAGAAATGGTTAGATATTCTAGTCTTCTCGGATAGGGATGAATAAATGGAGGTCCCGTCTCCTGCAGGTTTAGGGGTAGGAGACGTTAATTTCCCACGCACGAGATTACTGTGTGATGGATGTCCTCCCCTGGGGTGGTTGCTGGGTGGGAATTGGCCCTGAAAAGCCCCATGGGGAATGGTCAATTAACATATGTATATATATGTATGTATAAAGGGTTAACGCTTGGGGGGGGGGGTCAGAAGGTTTTAGGGATCACATGGTTTTCAAGAGGAACGGAAGGGGGATCAGTCGTCGCTGACAGAGTTTAAAGGGGGGAACTGAAAAAAGATGACCGCAAAAGGGGGGTATTAGAATAGTGGAGATCGTCCCCCCCCCAACCCCGATAAATAATGACCGGTCCCCTGCAGTAGGAGATAGTACATGCCGCTCTTGAACTGCCCTTTTCTGATATCTTAATTGTATGATGGTATGCTTCTGTGTTTGAGAGAGTAACTTGCGACTCGTTCTAACTTTCCTAACTGATTACAATGTCTGTATGTCTGTCTGTCTGTCTGTCTGTCTGTCTGTCTGTATGTGTGTATGTATTTACGAATATTTATAAAGGGTAGCCCAGTTAAGCAAATTGCTAGTTTAAGTAGGGCCCTGTGAAACAATAACACCCACCCATCCCACCTCAGGGGAGGACATCCATCACACAGTAATCTCGTGCGTTGGAAATTAACGTCTCCTACCCCTAACCCTGCTGGAGACGGGGCCTACGGTTTATTCGTCCTTATCCGAGAAGACTAGAATATCCATCCATTTCTTGATATTATAGAAAAGTAGCAAATTCTACTCAGTTATTTTAAAACCATGAATACTGGTCCGGGGCTCGAACCCTCGACCTTCCGCACAACACAATTCGGCGCTCTAACCAATTGAGCTAACCGGGGGGGGCGGTTAGCTCAATACATGTCTTGGTTGGTTAGTCAGTTGAAAATGGGATTCCAAAGCCGAGGGATTCAAGGCAAACGAGAATGCTCATCTTCTCTCCTTGATACGTTAATATCATTGATACACTTTCTCTTTCGAACAGCATGTGATCTTACCCCCGAGCCAGGGCCTTGCAAGGCTTACATGCCGAGTTACTTCTTTAATGCCACATCCAAAGCGTGCGAGGAATTTATATATGGAGGCTGTAAAGGAAATGATAACCGCTTTGCTACCATTGATGACTGTGAGAATAAATGCAAAGGTTGGCATTTCAGCTTTTATTATCCTTAAAACAAATTTTGTCATTTCACCGAATTAATAGCGTGGAGCATTTGTCTTTCCCATGTACTGTACTAGTCTTCCCTTTATTGCCAGCGGAGCTTAGATCCGCGAATGCGTCAATATGCGTCTTTGTTTTGGACCAATAAAAACGTTGTAGCCCTGTACTGTTGTCTACAGAGCGTTTCTCCCAATCAGTCCACTTTTCCACACAGTTGTTGGATTTTTTTTTTTTAAATACGCTTGATTAGTTTGGCATTATTAACACGACCAGGTTGACCAACTCTATCCATTGGCCAACCGCCTCCCGGTTAGCTCAATGGATAGAGCGCTGGACTGTAGTGCGGGAGGTCGAGGGTTCGAGCCCCGGCCGGACCAACACTCAAGGTCTTAAAATAATTGAGAAGAATTTGCTACCTTTCTATAACATCAAGAAATGGTTAGATATTCTAGTCTTCTCGGATAGGGACGAATAAATGGAGGTCCCGTCTCCTGCAGGGTTGGGGCAGGAGACGTTAATTTCCCACACACGAGATTACTGTGTGATGGATGTCCTCCCCTGGGGTGGGATGGGTGGGTTAGGACAGCAGGTCCACATCAGCTATTACAGCTGCCAATTAATCAACCTGCTTAAACAAATAAATGAACTTCAACTTCAACTTCA